GCAACTTTACAGGGGAAACACTGGCAAACACCATCTTGGCCAGGGGAGCGAGGTCACATTAGCAGGGGTGAGTCACCCTGACGGTGTCCGTGGTTGTCCTCCCAAGGACCCATAACCCCAGTCTAATCAAGAGGAAAACAGATAATCCCAGCGGAGGGACAGTGCACAAAACGCCAGCACTCCTCAAAACCGTCAATGTCATCGAGAACAAGGAAAGTGTGGGAAACTGCAAACCCAAGGGGAAGGTGGAGAGACGCGACGATGCGACAAAACGTGGGACCCCCGAACAGGGAGAAGACGGCAGGCCAAGCGCTGGGGAAATCTGAATGGAGCGTGGGCTCAAGTTAATACTAACTTCACGCTGGCTCACGAACTGTGCAACTAAACCACGTAACTAAGGCACTAAAAATGAGGGGAACTGGGCGTGGGGTACACAGAACTCACTACCGTCCCTGCGATTTAGCCATAAACCTAAAGTTGCTGTAAAATAGTTTATTTTTTAAAAAATGTTTTGCCTGACCAGAAACTAAGATCGATAGCTGCATAAGTTTTGTCTAAATTTATTTATTCACTCAACAAATGTTTTGAGCACCTACTCTGGGCTGGCATTATGCTCTGGGGGGTGGTCAGCCACTGCTTGCTGCCACCCCCCTCACAAGTCACTGCTCCATTCAGAGGCCTTGTCCCTATGCAGCGAATCTATGAATCTATTAGGTCTTTTTTCTTCAACCTTGCTTTGTCATTGTTCCAACCAGATATAAATCTTTTTTTTTTTTGCTATGGGGACAGCTCTGGGGACAACAGTGAAGAATATGGCATGCCCTGCCTTCAGGGAGCTTTGAGTCTACCTTCCACCTGAAGAATGACCAGAATGCAAGAGAGCGGGGAAAGCTACAGGTGACAAATATAAATGATAAAAGTCGATGGGAAATAGATTCCGGGAGTTTATATTCCAAAAATATATATTGCAAAATCCATAAAGAACCGATCACGTTGACCACTTGATCAACACTCAGATGAACATTTGCACCTGGGGAGCAGAGACAGGAAATCGTGACAATCTCTGAGCCTCTCTGACCTAACACTTTAAGACATCACTACGCACCTATTAAGACACCAAAAAGAAATAAAAAATAAAACCCGATGAAGATGGCGGGAGAGAGGAAATACAGGGAACCGCTCCCGCCTTTCCTGACAGCCACGTGATTCTAAGAACCGAGGAGCCTTTATACGTGCCTCCTGCAACGAGCCCCTTCTGGGCACTGTGCCCCGAGGAAATAACCTGAGTGTGAAAATGGGAACGGATGGCGGCCGAGCTGAGCAGCTCCCCGCGACAAAACTCAGTGAGGTGCAGAGCCTAAAAAAAAAAAAAGGTGAAGTTCCCCCAGACGGGGCTGAGACGGCCCGAGAAGGGCAGAAAGCAGCCCTTTCCTGCCGTCCCCCGGCCAGCAGAGGAAATGCAGGGTGACAACAGAATCATTCCTTCACCGCGCCCCACACCCACCCGCCCCCAAGACTAGCTGCGCCCGGGTCTGTGCCCTCGCGCTCCGGGCGGCCTCTCGCCCCGCCCGGCGGCAGCC